AGACAAATTCCGATATACCTTAAAATTGTGCGTCCTTGCGCATTCCTGCCTCAATTCATAATCACGCTTCTGTAACAGCGGAAACGACAGACCGTACATAGTTGACACAGCATCTGTAAACAGCCTGTGGAACAAGTGTCATATAATGTAGGTATCACTGTGTCGTTTGCTTTCGGAAATACAATTCCATTTCCCCTCGTTTCATGCTAAGCTCCCATGACCTCAGTCACCTCTCTTACTCAGAGTAGGCCATGTTATCGTATCGTCATGTAAACCTTCACCGCCTACTTCGTTCCCTAGAGGTCCAACAGATGTCACTCTTTGTCGATTATGAATAATTCATTATGCAGCTTCATTCATGCAGAAGCCAAGAAAATAATAAGCAGGGGTTGCAAGGGGTGTAGGCAACAAATGGGGAGGGGGAGGACGGAATACAAATGTATATGTTGAGAACACAGAAGGGGAACTTTTGTGTAAAGACAATATTGAGCAATGGTAACGAAGGGACACATTTGATACGTGTGTTTATATTTTCAATGCACACCCGCACGAATTCGCGATGGGAGTAAGAACTATATTTGGAGATTCCTGAACTCGAAAAAAGGGGCCAGAAAGTTTATCGGGGCACGGTTTTCAGCAGGATGAAATCAGAGGGACATGGAAAACGTGAGATATAAGATAAATTAGTAGAAAAGAGTGAAGGGAATAGACCACTTTTAGATACAGGCGTAGATGTGAGGATAATATTAAATTGGATAATAAAAAAATAGGGTATGAGACACATAATCATTTTCACAATTAACTCCAGATGCTAACTCACATTCCGTCTTCAGGTGAGGAAGGAAGACATCTACTCAGTTGGACCATTTTGAAAGAGCTAATATCAATCACTGGATTGAGGAAAGAGATCCAATTTCCGAAACGTCGTGTCCTCTATCACCTAGAATTCCGAACGATGGAAAGGTCCAAAAACCCAGTAATTCTGTGTGTTAATTTTGTTGTTAAATTAGCAATTATTGCTAATGCAGTAAAACTAAATTTCAATTAGTTATTACTAATTTATTCTGAACTTCAGGGGAATTAAAATATGACAAGCGGCATCCATTAGTTCGTTTACTCTGCTTTCGCGTGTGTCTGCAGTGCCCTCTACTCATAATCAACTTACAGTGTACACACATTTCAATTTAATCGTTTGGTTGGAACACAACTCTGGAAATTGTAATTCCTAATTTGCTAATAAATAACACCATTTGAACGTTACCAGAGTTTTGTGAGATTTTTCAGTTAGAAAACATTCAAAACAGAACTGGTACAAATGTTTGTTTCAAATAGACCAGAATTACAAAACCACACAATCAATATCGGATTTCCAGCCGCGAATGGAAACAGCGAATGCGGATCAGTAGAGGAAATGGATTCTGACAGAGTGGGGGGGGGGAGAGAGAGACATCTGGAAAATGTCATCAAAATGGAAATTCGTTTATTACGCAATCAAAACACGTCCAAAAGTGTTTACGTTCAAAACCACCACATGAAGCGCTTACAATTTTTTCAAACCGTCCTCGAAATTTGATTTTGAACATGTCATTTGCCCATAATTTTCTCTTTTTACTCTCTTGATACATACATATGAGTACATTTTTCCGCGTTCAGAACGAACAATAATGCGTATATTCTTTGCAACTGACATCATCACAATTGCAATAGATCCGATTCGAGGCACACTTTCTGGTGAATAATTTGGATATTCACCCTCCAAGAGGATGTAAATTTTATGTAAAAACAGCGCAGCTTCAACACATTACAAATCTGTCTGACTATGAAATATTTAAACCTTCCTGCCACTACTTTCGCTGCGATTCATGTGAATATTTTGAATCCTTACGGTTCTTTCATATAATGTTTATTCAACTTGGATTTCATCAGAAGAGAAATTCTTCTTTCAAGAACAGAATTTTCTAATATCTAACCCAAAGACAACAGTAAGAGAGAAGTCAGATTCAAGTTTTCCTGCATCATGTCGAGATTTAAGTATACGAAACCGCATCCCATTCAAATCTTAATACATACGAGTACCCGTAATAACTCAACGTCACTAATTTTTGTTTCAGTGGCTCAGGGCTCAGGCCTCTTATTCAGTTCCATAATAATTTTTCATAGACTGTAGGACTCGGACCAGTGATCAGCCCGTCGCAAGGCCGCTACCTAAATATAGGACAACACAAAAACAGAATAAACACATACACACAAAAAACATACATGCCTTGAGTGGGACGCGAAACCACGATCCCAGCGTCCGAGCGAGCGAAGACAGTATATACCTTAGACCGCACGGCTACTGTGACCGGCTCTACACCACTAAATACAAATCTAAAAGAACTATAATTAATAGCAAAATTAATAATTATTTATTTCACTAATTCGGCACTCTCTATTTTGCGCAAAACTTTTACATGAAACGTGCAATTTTTGCAAACATGAATCACTAGAATTTCAGGAACTACTTGGAACGGTGTCAAGCGAACTGTTCTTGCTTCTTCGAAACACTAATAAAACGAAGAATTTTACAAGCCTAGAAAACGAATATGAAAATGAACCAATTACATAAGGGAACCAAACGCTGAGATATAGTGGGTAACATTCCTGCCTCGTATTCAAGTGAACGTGGGTTTATATGTATCTCAGCTTAGACTCCGGCTGAACAGAACTGTATCTTGTCCCTCCAAGTAACTGCCAGTATGATGCTCAAGAGGGACCCATGCATTTTCCTTCCGCATTCTTCCCAGTTCATCAATCATAAATCAGTCTCTCACTCCATTCTATGCCTAATTTAAGCTACTGGAAGCTTCGTTAAATGAATCATGAATAAAAGTAAAGAATTATATAGTCTTAACTTAAAGAATGCACAGAGAGGGGATTTTTAACACTGTAATGAACCATCGGGCTTCATGAAGGATGGTGAACTCTTTGACCAGATAAGCGATTATTACCTTCTCAGGAAGAACTCTGGTCACGGAATTAATTATTTAGTTTCTCATGCTTATAAGAGTTTAATTAATGTATTAGTTAATTGGGCCGATCACGGTAGCTGAGCAGTCTAAGGCATATACTGTCTTCGCTCGCTTGGAAGCCAGGATCGTGGGTTAGAGCGCCACACAAGACATGGGTATTTGGTATATATCTGCGTTTTTTTCCCTGTTTGTGTTTTCCTGTGTTTAGGTAGAGGCCTTGCGATGAGCTGATCACTCGTCCAAGGAGTCCTACCGTCTGGAAAATGATCAAAATGGAAAACAACCTCGACACCGTAAGGTGTAAGAGGAACGGATTAAGTAAAGTATTAGTTAATTTGTTGGTTTATTGGTTGGTTGGTTACTTATTGGTTACTTAGTCAATCAGTTGATCTGTTGTTCATGTCCATGGTTTATGCTAACCGTCTTACAGTGTATACACTTTTTCACCTTATTCTTCACTTCCATACATCTGTTGTTCATTCAGTTTCTTAGTAATCAGTTGGTTAGTTATGAATATACGAAGTAATGTAAGAAACAAACGCGGTACACGTCAATACGGGTAGCTCAGTAGCTACTTAACTCAGAATAAGTCGAAAGACATTATCATGTTTTTCATGACGATTTCGCACATGAGACACAAGCGTTCACAACACGTGACCATATGTAGGCTGCTCGCCCGGAAACATCGTTCAAAATTGTCAAATATTTTATGGAAATTCTAACTGTTGTTACTGGCTTTATAACAGTTTTATAAGAAGATAAAAGGAACCTAAGCTGGCAAATACTTTAACGTTAGCTGTATTATTTACAGTCAATCTTACTTACACTCATCTCTCAGTATCAAATTCATATTAGTTCACAAAATGGATACGTATGTTACACACAGACGTTCAGGTTTCTGTGCTCAATGCATAAGTTCAAATTACCTCATTTGCGGTGTGGTACAATCAGTTCTATCAGTTTCTCATAGACGGTTCTATTACGGGGCCGTTTATGATGAACTTTTAAAACTAGATGTGTAGCATACTTCATAAAATTTCTCTGCGGATTTAGAGTAATGAACCACCACCAAAAAAAAAAAGTGTAACACGAAACTGGACATTACAGAAGGGTTATGAAATTGATGTGACCGCCTCTGTGGTCCAGTGGTGAGAATTCCTGCCTACAGATCCAGAGGTCCGGGTTTCGATGCCCGGCGCTACCAGATTTTCTGAGACGTAGTGGGTATGGAACGGGGTTTACTCAACCTCGTGAGGATAATTGAGGAGCTCTTTCAAGGAAATTACGGTTCCGGTCTAGAAAGCCGAGATTAACGGCCGTGTGGATTCGTTACGCTGACCACGCGACACCCTCTATCCGAAAATTTGGCACTGACTTCACTGGCAAGCGGCGGTCGCTAGGTCGATATATTTCGCTTGCGGACTACAGACAACGGAGATTTTAATGAAATTTATGTTCCTCGGAGACTCGCAACTTTCCTTTGAAAGTTGATGCAATACTGTATATATGTCAATCCACAGATCATGCATTAATTAGAGTATTTATTTAAAAGTGTGATAAATATTCACTTTGTAAAAATACAAGAATAAATACATGCAACAAGGACGCTATTGGAAAGAAGATACTAGAAAGTAATTGGTGCATAGAAATATAACACAATTATCATGAAAGATATCTAAGCTTAACTCTATCTTACATGAACACTGTATCCTGCTTAGCCATTTAATTCCTTTATAATGAATATCTGCAATATTTTGTTATTTACGTTCTCTTCACATAGTATTATCCACTCTAGGATTATATGTGAGTGCTTAACACTGTGAGGTTTCAAAAAATCTCTCATATTATTTATTGAAAATATATTACTTATTTTCCGGAGTCGCCTCTCGGCCATCTTCTAAATAACTACCGAATACATTCAGTTCTGGCCCAGATTAAACATTAAACAAAATGCAGTATGAAAAAAGCTAACAAAAATTTTTATTACAGATGGGATCAAATTCGGTGTGAACCGCCTGATGGACAAGATGAGCAAGGAGGCAGACGATGGCTGTACCAGCAACACCACAAACAACACCAGCAGGAGTGACGTCACGACGATGACGGACAAACCTGGAAGTTGCGACTGCGGCGAAGAACTGCTATCCCCGGACAACGGGTCGCCTGGACACAGTGGACAACCACATCAGGACACATGGCGAGACAGGTCCTGCTCGACGTCACCAGAACTCGAAGTTGACAGCCCCCCACGATCCCCAGAAGTCAATACAAGACTAAGAAGTCCTTTACAGCGAAGACCCTCCTCGGTAACAGAAGTTAAAGCAACGAAAACAGAAGTCACACCCATAAAAAAGTCTGAGACTTTCAGTGTAAGCGCTTTACTTAGGCCGGACATTCCTCGAAGTCAAAGGTCGCCTTCCAGAGAGTCGTCAATCCTGGGCCATCGCGCGAACAACGGTGCGGGACAATCGTTCTCAGAGACTATCTCAGTGACGCGGTCATTCATGTACCCGGCACTGCCTTTCGCCGATCTTCTAATGCGTGACGGTGTCATGAAGAACCAACACCACCAAAGTGATCACCATCATAATCACCACGAATACCCCGGTAGTTCATCTTCCAGTTTTTTACCGAGGCACTTTGTAGGTACAGGTTTCGGTTTCCCGCCTAGTCTTTACCCAGGAATTCCAGCAGCGCCAATTCCGGGAACTGTAAGTGGAGTTGGTAACAGTAGCGGCCAGACGGGGAGCAGCTCCAAGAATGAACTTATGGACGGTAACAGGAACTTTCTGACGTCACCCGCTGTAGGTTCGCTGTATTTCAGTTTAGGCGCTGTTCAAGCTGCGGCCGCAGCAGCTGCAGCAATGGCCAACTCTTCATCTTCATCGGCGTCCTCGAACGCAGGGAGCGCCGGTAGCACAGGTAGCGGGGGACATCCTGCGTATCCTTCAGAACATCCGAGCCATCACCCAACGGCTGAGGAGTTGTTTCGCTTGAGACATCACTTCATGGCGGCCGCAGCGACAGCTTCACCTGGAGGTTCTGGCCCCCTGTCCCACCAGCACGTGGTTCCGGGCGCACCCGATCACCACCATCATCACCACCACCTCCTGATGAGGGGGCCCGGTGTTGTGCCCCTCGGAGACGTCTACTCGTGTATAAAATGTGAGAAGATGTTCTCCACACCACACGGACTTGAGGTTCACGCCAGGCGGTCACACAACGGCAAGAGGCCTTTCGCCTGCGAGTTATGCAACAAGACCTTCGGGCATGAGATCAGCCTCAGCCAGCACAGGTCAGTTCTTTTTCCAACATGAAAATGATACCCAGCTCCACAGCTCCTGTGCTAACACCCATGCTTGTCTTTGTCACCCGATCCGTGTTTCAAGGTTGGGTTCCCTGAAGCGAGGTTTTATAATTAGCTTTTTCAGTGTACAAATAGGAGAACATCTTAGTTTTTATTTTGAAGTTTGGTTAGGATGTATTGTTATTTATGGATCGGTAAAGAATATTCCTGTGACGAGCTCATCACTCGCCCAAGGAGTCATAGCGTCTGTAAAATGTTCATGAAACTGAAAATCAGAGGCCAGAGCCCAAGGGGGCTGCTGGGCCGCGCCATAGCTCAAGCGGTTAGTCGCTAGGTTCCACCGCGGCGGCCCGGGTTCGATCCCGGGTCTGATTAAGTGGGATTTGTGGTGGTTAAAGTGGCACTGGGGCCGGTTTTCTCCAAGTACTTCGGTTTCCCCTGCCAATCTTCATTCCACCAAATTCTCCATCATCATAATCACCCTGGGCAGGCTACAATAGGCCAATCAGTGGCCGCCGTGCCGAGTGGACCCAGTTGGATTCCACCCCCAACTAAACGAATTAAAAAAATGGGGGGGGGCTGTAGAGCCAGTAAAAAAAAAGACTATTCGTGTTCAGGGATTTAAGATGAAGTAAAGAAATATTAAATCCTAATATCCATAGGTGCTTAACATGTAAGAAAATAAAAGTAAAGGTATCCCTGTAACAGGCCGTGGAGGCCCATAGGGTTGTGAGTTCTTTAGGTTACCACATTTTCTAGACAATCGGCTCATAGATGGCGGTAAGGTTGTCAGTCTTAGGCGCAGGCCGCCCTTTACCCCTAAGAATATTTTAGTTACTCATTTCTGTTAGAGGCTGAGTCAACCCCATGGCCATAGTGCGGCTAGAAGTATTAGATCAATTGGAAAAAATCCAATGATCTCATCGGGACTTCAACCCGCGACCTTCCGGCTTGTAGCATACAGATGATTTTTCTCAAATTTCAAGTCACATATGAAATAGAAACCATCATAAAATTTAGAAATGTTTAACAGAAATATCTGCAACACATGCATGGGTGGAACTCGCCCGCCACCTCCCTTATGACGACACAAGTCCCTGAAACTTCTAATAAAATATTCACAACAGCCTCCAACTCTGCTGCCAAGAAAAAGCCCTTTATGCAGAGAATATTGTAAAGAATCCCATACAGACACTTGCCGTGGCCCACCTTACAGCACTGACCCTGTTACTATGGAAACGTGACGTGCATGGACATGGCGGACTGGATCCTCAACGCAATGTCATGTCATGTTAGCAGAGAGAACCACGATATTGGGACACTGAATATTTTATAAATTTATTCCTCTCGGTTTTCCGTTTCTATTACTTGGTCATATATCACTAAAAGAAAAGAGATGGGACCTGCACTCGTCTTCTGTTTTATGCACCTATAAAAATTCTGGTTTTGTTAAGACATTTTCGCAACCAAAACATTCTGTGCTGTGACCTGAAGTCACGCTTATGCAGCAGTTCAGATGAATGTACAGTAGATTTAAAGTGTCACCCCTGGGAAAGAACATATTCTCCTTGTATTTGACAGAGTCAGTGTAGGGGTGAGCTCCTAGCAGTCTGTGTGCGTAACACTGTAATGTTAAACAGAGAAAGTGTAGAGATAGCTTCTCTCGAGGAATGTTCAAATTCATTAACGCATCAAGTACATCATTCATAAAATTGTTCATAGCTTACAAAACTTAATAATGACTGAACTATTTACAACATAACTGAAATATGAAACTGCTGGTCCAATTCTAACAATTCCGATATTAAAATATTGACTGTTTTGTATAAGCCCTGCCTCATTAACTATCTGTATATGCTCGTATTTTGAATGAATAGTAGATACTTTACGAATGCCCCTGTGGTCCAGTGGTCAGAATTCCTGCCTAGAGATCCAGAGATCCCGGGTTCGACTCCCGGCGCTACCAGATTTTATGAGAAGTAGTTGGTCTGGAATGGGGTCCACTCAGCCTCGTGAGGATAATGAGGAACTATTTCAAGGAAATAATGACTCCGGTCTAGAAAACCGAGATTAACGGCAGTTGCGCTGACCACGCGACACCCTCTCTTCGCTAAATTTGGCAATAACTTCGCCGATAAGCGGCGGTTGCTCGGTCGGTATAGTTCGCTTGCGGACTACAGGCCACAGAGTTTTTATCAGATACTTTATCGCATTCAGTTAATTTAACATTATATTTCATTTAATCTTATGCTATTTAACGGTTTTTTTTCGATATATAATTCTGTAGTGCTGCCCGGAGGGATATTTTACTTCTGTTTTGGAAAGGAAAAATCCGTTCTCTAGTTTAAGAAACTATTCCAATATCTACAAGGGGATTTGAGGAATATCTAAAAAAAAACTCGGTTATAACAACCGTTCAACAGGCAGATATTCAAGCTAATAATCTCAAGAATGTTATACAATTTTGCTAAACGTTCATTCGCGACTTTTGATAAAAAAAAAACACGACAGTGCTTTAAACACCCTGGCTTGTGTATCAGTAGATTAAGGTGAAATAACTACGGAAACTAGACGTGTCTGAAGGAGGCAATTTCACATATTTGGAATATATACGTTGCTATGATAATTGCATCATTACACTCACATTCTGTGTTTCGCTCAGTTAACTGCTAGCGGAGTGCCGAGTTAAACTTCAGAGTGGCCCAGTAAAAACGAGCCACTTTTCAAAGCTCCCTGCTGCCTTGTTGCAGAGCTGTTCACAACGTTGAGAAGGTGTTCGAATGCAAACAGTGCGGCAAGTCGTTCAAGCGCTCGTCCACGCTCTCGACGCACCTGCTGATCCACTCGGACACGCGGCCCTACCCGTGTCAGTTCTGTGGCAAACGCTTCCACCAGAAGTCAGACATGAAGAAGCACACCTACATCCACACCGGTGAGCAACTTAGGCTAGTGCTTCTTATGCTTTCTTTGCACAGTGTCTAATTGTGCAAGCCATGTTTGTTTCCTTGTCTGCGTGTTAAAAATTCAGAGTTATTAGACGAATTACCATGAAATCTGATATGTATGTTACGCCATTGCAGGCAAGTTCAGTCTTATTTCTGTTTTATTTACTACGATCAATTGCCACTGCTTTTCAACTTTTCTTTAGAATATGCCATTACAAAGATTTTACGCTGGTGGTGTTGATATTTATACAATGGAGCTGGTTTCTTAAAAAATAAGACTACATAACACACTCAGAAGCGCATAACATTCTCCCGCGTGGCGTCTGCATAGTCGTAAACCTGACCACAGAGAGTCATGTAACGTAACAACACAACTACAAGCTACATAAATCACAATGCAGACAAACAAACCAAATACTCGGAAAGTAATTTCTAACAGAAGTAAGAAATTGAATTAAAAATTGTATTTAGATGAAGTATGTACTTCTACATTACTGCCATGCACAGGGGGGTACGCATGATGAAAATGACAGGTTCTAGATCGGGTGATCGGATTTATTGACATTTTACTTATAAGTTCCCTTAATCACTCTTAATTCAGCGGTATCGCTGATTTCACGTTTTCCAGTTCACCATTGCAAACGCACTAGGATTCTCCGTCTTCACTAGTCTTCTCCTGGCAACGGATCTTAACACACAAACTATCACTTCAAATCACAATGAAGTCTTCTTGCCATTTCTTGTTCAATCACCCTGGAACCTTGGAACTCGACTAAAACTCTCTTTAGCAGCAAGCGGACTTGCGTTATATAGCCGCGGCACGGACAACGCAGAAAACACAGTTATACTGCAGACCACACAGAAAATATAATTCACGCTGTAGCTAAGTACTTTGGGGTGTGACATCATGCGTAGGCTGCATGGACATAAAGAAAAGCTTCTGCTGTGTTATGTGACGTCACCGCCTACGCGGAAGTGTGTTTACTGAGCCGTTGCCTAGAAACGGGTTGCATAATTCCGTTGTTCTATTGTTGCATGTGTGTGTTACTTAGCAACGGCTGCTTCTGTGGCTCAACCGTTCTTGCATGGAGCAAATATGCCACATTACGTTATTGGCTCTGCCCGTAAAGCCTCTAGGCTGCAAGCACGATGACCAAGGAACCGGGCTTCGATTCCCGGCAGAGGGGAGAGATTGTTCTTGTCTGTACATCGTCCAGAAAGGCTTTGGGTTTCAGCAAAGTTTCCTATCTAATGTGCAGGGGGATGTCTTTCCCCATGGGGTAAAGCAGCCGGGGTATGGAACTGACCACTAAGCTAATACGAGTACAGTGCCGAGGTTAAATGTGCGCGGAGCTGTACTTCCACCCCTCAAGAGTTCTACTGCTTAATTACACGCATTCACAATAATTCCTTTACTAGGAATGTTGCTTGTTGGAAAAACTGAAGCCGAATTGCCTGACACGCATTTGTTCAGTAGGCAACACCTGTTCAGCCTCGAGACAACAAAATCAATTCCGATTAGAGGTAATAACTGTTGGCTACACGCCATGTTTCTTTAGGTAATAATAAACCTGAAGAAGGCAGTTTTCTGGGATTTGGCACCGTGTATATGTGGTGTTAACCGACGTTTCGGAGGAACGTATCGCCTCCATCTTCAGGGTAGAAGGAAAATGTATAAGAAATCCACAGGCGACGAGACCGTGAGAACCGGTACAAGCAGTGCTGAAATGGTCCAAATATTTCCGCGATTCTGCTAAGATGATCTGTGGACTATCACGGTTCTGTTTAGGTGATAAATAGTCTTCTACAGCTCTTAATAATGTGAACTTTGTAAGATTTTAGAACTCACTGGATAATGAGTTTAATAATCCTTTCCTAAACGTTGCTGAAGGACTAGATAAGTTGTGAGGATGGTCTGATTAGTGAATCTGGATGAACAGTGAAGAAAGTGACCGTGTCTTGTTTGAATATATCATTTGTCAGTTGTAGTGGAGGGACATGTGAAATTTCTGTAAACCTCGGTCTGGTAAACTTGCTCTCCGATTGACCTTTCAGTGGCTGGTTGTAGGTCCTGCAGCAAAACGGCCATGCAGGGCACGTCTTTTTCAAAAAGCCCAGTAGTGACCCTCTGCTATCGACTTCATCAGGTATCTTAAGCTTCTCTGGCCACAATATGATCTTAAAATCTAAATGTACAGAGAAAGATACAAACTTAATCACCCTCATAACAAACAGTTATCTCTGTGTCCTAATTTATGCAAGTCAAAAATTTATCATCGCTATGTCATGGTTTCTCTTTATCCATTCTTATATCATCCTCCAATCTAAATCGTGAGCCCCAAAATGGTGTTTTTCACGAAGTTTCATTTTGAAAGCGTAC